AAAAAAAAAAAAAAAAAAAAAAGAACTTTGCTCGTTCACCTCCACTACTAGAAATCCGGTAAATACCGACCAAAATTTTCCAACCAACGTTAGTCGGTCAAAAAAAGCGACCAAAGTTAGACGGAAACTGGGAGAAAAATATTTTACATTTATTTTAAAAAAATACCGACCAACGTTGGTTGGTAATTTGGTCAACAAGTTGACCGTGTTGGTCAAACTTGCTTAGTCAAAGAAATCTTCACATTACCGACCAACTTTGGTCGGTAATGTGGACCCAATTTTTAAAATTTTAGTAGTTATATTATTATTTAAAATGTTTTATAAAATTTAAAGAAATTTTATTTAAAATTACCAACCAAAGTTGGTCGGTTAATGCAGGGGAAGCAATTATCGACCAACGTTGGTCGGTATATTTTAATTTCTGAAAAATAACTGACCAAAGTCGGTCGGTTATTAGAATNTTATAAGTCGATGAATTAATTTACAAATAGATATATTTGATGATAAATTATATATACTAATTAGATAGATATATTTGATGATATATTTGCTGCAAATTTTCATCATAAAGCTTGCAAGCGATTGTCGGATGCTTTCTCCGATGCTAGAAGGAAGAACAAGAAGCCTGACTGGTTACTTCAAAATTTATGGGATGATTTGCAAAGGCAATGGCTTACCGCAAAGTTCTTAGAGAAGAGCGAAAAGGGAAATAAAGCTCGTGCATATGAGAAGGGAGGCTCCTTGCACACTGGAGGTGCGATCAGCCTAGGGACAATAAAAAGAAGATTAGTACGTAATTGCTTAAATTGTTTCAATTTTCAAAGTATATCTATTCTGTTTATTAACTAAATTAATTTGTTTTCAGGAAAAGAAGTTGGGGCATCCAATGAACCATGATGAGCTATTCAAGGAGACACATATTGTAAAGAAGAAGAAAGAGGCGGGTCAAGAAAAGTGGATCGAGGACCGGGCCTCGATTGTATATGTAAGCTTTCGCTTTTCTTTAAGTATTTTAATTTACTTTTAATATAAATTTTGAAATACTAATTCATTTTAAATTTTCGTATAGGGTCGCTACCAAACTAACGTGGAGGAGTTCATCCGCACTCAGCCAGCTGGTGAATCGGCGAGCCAACCCAACCTTCGGATGAGGATAATGAAAGAATGTGGATGGAGTCTGCTGGCGGTCCAAAATGGGGGAAGGTATACGAGCTTCCTACTAAAACGTTCTATCGCTATAAGTGTGGAATGCAAGGAATATGGACTTCCTCGCAAGGCGAGCAACTTAATGTGGAGAGCCTCTCCGCTATGCGAGAGATTGTAACAAAGCTCACATCCGAGCTAGAAGCGGCCAAGGAAGGAGAAAGGGTTAGAGATGCTCAATTCCTTGGCATGCAAGCTCAGATCAGAACTCTCCTATCTACTGGAGCTTTTCGGTTGCCCCGGTCTCGTGAGTCATCGCCAGAGGCTCGACCTGCACGTGACCGTTCCTCCCGTCCTCCCTGTGATCTTTCCTCTCGTCCTCCCCGTGATCATTCCTCCCGCCCTCCTCGTGGTCGTTCTTCCCATCCTCCACAAGACCCTTCTCGACACCGTCTTTTAGATGAAAGTTCATCATACGGTGATGATGATGTTGTACAAAATACTCCTTGACTTTTATATACTTTGAACTAGACAAATAGAACCCGTTTTGAACTAGTTGTAATAAGTTTTAACTTGGTTTTGGATTTTTATGTTCAACTGAACTTTAATTTATTAGTTCTAATGTATTTATTGATTGTTGTTGTATTGTTGTTGTTATTGTTGTTGTTGTTGTTGTGTTGTTGTTGTTGTTTTATGTTTGCTATTAGATGTATTGATATTCTGGAAGGTGGTGTAGCTTCCAAAACAGGCATTATATGCCAAATTTAAAACCTAGAAAACCGACCAAAGTTGGTCAGTTTCTAATTAAAAAAAATACTTTTCTGCAAATTACCGACCAAAGTTGGTCAATAATCAATAAAAAAAAATTATAATTACCAACCAAAGTTGGTCGATTAATGAACAAGGAATTCCCAGAATTCAACATTACCGACCAACTTTGGTCGGTATTGTTAAATTTTAATTTTAAAAAAAATATATATTTTCATTTACCGACCAACTTTGGTCAGTAATTTTTAAATTTAATAATTAATAAAAAACATAATTTAAATATATCGACCAACTTTGATCGGTAAAATTAAATTATTAAAATATGTTTCCGACCCAAGTTGGTCGGTAAATGTTTTAAATTCTTCAGATGGTCGTTTTAAAATACCGACCAACCTTGGTCAATTGCCGATCAAAGTTGGTTGGTATATTAAAACGACCATCAAAATAGCGACCGAGCTTGTTTGGATGGGTTTTGGTCGGTAATTAGTCATAACCGACCAACGTTGGTTGGTATTTACCGAATTTTTAGTAGTGCTCTCGCGTACGCACGAGATAGTGAACGCGCTAACTTAAAAAGGTTGTTTCAAAGTGGGCTTGTACTATTTCACTCAATGCTAACTCTATCACATATAAATAGTAAAACGTGACTTTTGTGGAGAGAACGTGACTTTTGGGAGAGAGGAACACACACCACACTTGGAGGAGGCTTCTAACTAATTTTTCTTCTCTTCTATTCTCTTAATTTCATAGTTTATTAGTCCTAGAGTTGTGGGGTACTACATGAATGTTGTAGTTTGAAGCTTAGATCGTTCTTATTATTTTATCATATTGGTTTATTTATTCAATTTGCGCTTAATTATTTGATTCCTTGATCACCAATTAAATACTATCTACGAATCTGGGATGAACTTTGGAGAGAGAATTCTAGATTGCATAAAAAATTGAGTAGAACAAGATCTTGAACTCGAGTATCAGAACGAATTTGCGGTTAGGATAGGAATATACCTAATCGCCTTGCTTGGTTATTATACGGGAATTATAAATGCGTTCTTGTTAATCCTAATTTCATAGGAATATAGTCATTATGTTAGCTTGAATAGACGAGTTGTACTTCAGGAGAAGGCTACGAGTAATATTAACCCTGTCAATCAATAAACTAGATAAATGAATTAGACAATTTAGGTAAAAAACTCACCGGTATTGTTAGCTAACCCATAAATCTAGAATATTTTCTCCCATTGAATTCGTGTCTAAGTTCGCCAATTTGTTTCCTTTATTCTTAGTTTACTACTCTAGATTATCTTTAGTTAAATATTCATACTTTAGAATTCGCTTGAATATATTAATTGTTTGGATTTAATTTAGTTGATAGTTAATCACAAGTCTTTGTCATTCTCAGAGCTCTTATTATAAATCTAATAATGTATGAGTTTGATATGGGCAATAAAGTGGAGAATATGGAAAGCGTGGCTCATATTATGGAAATGATGAGGCAAGCAGCCGAGCAACAGGACATGATGATAACGCAAGTAGCCGTGCAACAAGATGAAAATCCTAAGGCTATACAAAGGATTGGTGCAGAAATAATGAGAATGAAGGTCGAGGCGGAAGAATTGGCTAAAGAGAGCGAGTTCCCACAAGAAGATAATTTTAAAGAAATAGATATAGTGAACCAATCTTGGCTAGAGGAACAAGCTCAATTGATAAATCTTATGAGTTCTCTGTGATGGTCTTTGAAATATGATAGAACAACTGATAGAAGGAAGAAAATGAGCTCAGGCTAGAAATAGACCAATTTGGCTCAAATATTCATGACCTGCAGGCTCAATTGAATAAAAAGATTGAGGCGTCTGATGCCCTACAACTAATTGTTGTGGATACATGCCAGCTTATGGAGCGAAAAAGAGGAATTCCAACTATTCGACCAAATTATTAATGTTTCCAAGGTTGACGAAGTGCGCAAAAGTGAGGATGTCAAAAGTGAAGCAATTTTAGATTTGGAGCGCATTGGACCTCATTCTAACTATTTTTCAACAATGTTCTTGGTTAGTGACACGAGAATTGATCCATTTGAGCATATTGAGGAGTCAATGGAAGAGGTACAAATGGCATATATTCTGAAATTAGTGATGCCAAAGAGACAAAATGACATCCCTCACTTAAGGGCCAAGAAGTGCAAGATGCGATACCTATTGCTTGGTTCCTTTATTTTAACACCACCGCCCAGGAATGTGACAGAAAAATTGATGCAAAATTAGGGACGCAATTCATATCCTCAAGGTGGAGGAAAAAGTGGTGAAAGTAATGGCGTCGTACCGCGATGTTAAGTCAAGCGCTTGTTGGGAGGTAACCCAATCCTATTATCTCTTTTTGTTTTGATTATTTTTTTAATTTATTATTGTATTTTTTTTTATGTTTTGTAGGAGTATGAGCATGGATTCAATGCCATTAGGCATGTGCAATGGTTGGAACAAAGTGGGGGGTTGCCCGCACAAAGGATACCACTCGGGAGAAATCTGAGTATCCCGTGAGCTGCTAATTCTTCGGTCGTTGGCCTACCACGGAGTCTCTTTTACTCTCTTTTATTTATACTGTGAATTGAGGATATTTCACAATTTTAAGTGTGGGGTGAGGAGATTATCTGTGTGATTTTTTGTGCTATCTTAGCTTATTAGTAGTACTTGTTCTGAGTGCAGTAGTTTTTGTTAAAAAAATAAAAAAAGTAGAAAAATTGGACTTCTCCCGATGATGGATCTCATTCAACAGGTATCTTGAGTGATTTAAGTCGGAAAAAAAAAAGACAAAAAGATTTTCTTTTGTTAGGTAGTGTAATAATTCCCCCTTGTATTTTCTTTGTGCCACGGTTCTTTTTCAAAAGGTTTTATTTGAATCGGGTGTAGTTAGTTGTATTTTTTTAGGACTACGTAGGAGCTAGTATGATGTGATTGAAACCATATCTCTTGACTTTGTTATGCCTTGATAATAGTGAGTACTTTGGTTGTGACTCTTAGGCTCAGTTTTTGACTCTTGTATAAGTATCTTTAATTGTATGATCTTAACTTTGATTAACTTCTTTGACTAAAGTGCCTTGATGAGTCCAATCCTGAGTGAGTTATGTGCCATATGTTTGTGAGGATTGTTTGTGTCATTCTGTGCATTGCATTTGATGTCTAAAACTTACTCGTGTGTTTGCAAAGCGAAATAGTAGTTTTGTTCAGTGTTGGAAGTGATATAGGCGTTTCTTTGTTAAACTAGTTATATATTTTACCCGCCTAATTGTTATGTATCGTAGTTAACCCTTTGAGCCTATAATCATGTTTCTTTGGCAACCACATTACAAATCTTACCCATTTGTTTGAATTAACTATCTATTTGAACCTTTTCACCTCTCATGAGCACTTGAATTGTAATTAACTTTGTAAAAGTTAAAGTGTGGGGTGGTTGGTTTGGCTTTTGAGTGGAACTAATAAAATAAGGATAAAGGTGCACTGTTTGGATAAAGTAAGAGTCACTTGAATATATATATAGTTGTATTGTTGTAAAAAATATTCCTTGATAGTGGTACTTTTGATGTAATTGTGCTTAAAGAACTATGGAGTTAATATACATTGATGTGAAGGTGGAGTTAGGGTTTAACATAAGTGTGGGGTTCTAATTGTTAAAGTGTATGTATTAAAGTGCTTAGGGAGGTGTAGTCACTCTTATATCCAAATAGATCATACTCATCCCACAACCTGCATTACAACCAATTAAAGTCCTATTTGATCCTAGACTGAATAAGCTCGATTAGTAGAGTAATACACTACGGGCAAGCCTATGGTTCATCTTTTGTGGCATATGAATGTTGTTTCTGAGAGTGAGTGAATTCTTTCTATATTGAGTTCCTAATTATTCTTGAATTTTATATGTATGGAACTACTCTCTTTTCTTGTGTGAGGGCACTTGATTCATGAAGGAAAGGTAATGGAATTGACCTCTATGTTAAAGTAAGTGAACGTGTTGTGAAAAATGCGTGGTGCTTGTGAGTCAAATCTTGAGGTGAGGATATTACACTATTGTGCCTAGTCTATTTTAAATATTCTTGGTATGATGAGTTATGAGAGTTGTTTAAAAAGGTCGTGTTGTTGTAAAATGTAGAAAGTTGTTTGAGGACGAGCAAGAGTTTAAGTGTGGGGCGTTGATAAACGGCCAAAAAGGCATATTTTTTAGTGTACTTTCATCTCATAATTTGTGTGGTTACGGTATATTACATGAGTTTTGTAAAGAATTATGTTCATTACATACATTCTTATGTGTAGGAGCAAGTTAAACGAAATGTGAGCAAAAGAAGTTGATTCGGGACCAAAAGACAAAAGAAGGACTTTGCTCGTTCACTCTCACGTGCACACGAGAGAGTGAACGAGCTACTGAGGAAAACCTTGGAAAAAAAACAGTGAAGTATAACTTTGCTCGTTCACTCTCGCGTGCGCACGAGAGAGTGAACGAGCTAACCTAAAAAGGCTGTTTCAAAGTGGACTTGTATTATTTCACCCCATGCTAACCCTATCCCATACAAATAGTCTTGAAACGTGACTTTTGTGGAGAGAACGTGACTTTTGGGAGGAAGGAACACATACCACACTTGGAGGAGGCTTCTAATTAGTTTTTCTTCTCTTCTCTTCTCTTAATTTCATAATTAGTTCTAGAGTTGTGGGGTACTGCTATATGAACGTTGTAGTTTGAAGCTTAAGATGTTCTTATTATTTTATCATATTGGTTTATTTATTCAATCTTTCGCTTAATTATTTGATTGTTTGATCACCAATTAAATACTATCTACGAATCTAGGATTGAACTCGGGAGAGGAAATTCTAGATTGCATATAAGATTGAGTAGAGCAAGATCTTGAACTCGAGTATCGGCAACAAATTTGTGATTATGATAGGAATATACCTAATCGCCTTGCGTTGTTATTATACGGGAATTATAAATGCATTCTTGTTAATCCTAATTCCATAGGAATATAGGCGTTAGGCTAGCTTGAATAGGCAAGTTGTACTTCGAGAGAAGGCTACGAGCAATATTAACCCCGTCAACCAATAAACTAGATAAATTAATTAGACAAATCTAGGTAGAAAACTCAACGGGATTATTAGCTAACCCATAGCTCTAGAATATTTTCTCCTATTGAATTCGTGTCTAAGTTCGCCAATTTGTTTCCTTTGTTTCTTAGTTTACTACTCTAGATTATCTTTAGTTAAATATTCATACTTTAGAATTCGCTTGAATAGATTAATTGTTTGGGTTTAAATTGGTTGATAGTTAATCACAAGTCCATGTGGGTACGATATCGGAACTTACAATCCTATATTACTTGTCGACCACGTATACTTGCGTGTGTGTTAGGGAGCAACAATTACTAGCTAGTAGCTACACTTATCCATCCATGCTTTCTTGTTAATACATTCTAAAAAGAATGAAACATTACTATATTTGCAATCATTTAACTTTAAACTTTTCCGTTTATCCAATGTACCCTTAATGAGAAGTTTTTATAGCCACATAAATTGAGAGTCCCACAAAAGCTTTTGCCCTTTAAGCTTTTAAAACCATAAGTTTCAGAAGTCTTCATTTTTACTAAAATCTATATCGAGTCAAACTACGTCACATGAATAAAAACGTGAGTATGAGAAAGGAATTAAGTTATAAACACTATGTACGTAATTTAATACATTGCGTAGTTTAGTTACCATTTTTATATAGCTTACAACTACGGCAATACTTATCATATACCTGGCTAATACTTAATTATATGTCACTTGATTGTGTGAGTATTTTTTAGACTATCAGTGTATAGCTCCTAAACTCTCAGAAGTTAAAGATGAAGTTGATAATATTTTAACGTGCAAGGCACCTTAAAGGGGAATCATTTGATCAGTAGATTTAAATTTTAGAGCTTCCGTTATGGTGCAACGCTAAACAATGCACTATGTATGCTATATAGTGATGTTTCTTAGGTTTAATAATATATAGAATATGGTCTCATGTAGAACTTTAGGATTTAGGTATGGAATTATCAATATTGTTCATTCTGATATAATGTTAGAAAAGTGGATAGAAAATGGAAGTAGCTACTAATGCTTGTATTAGGGTAGGCTATCTACGTTACACCATTTGGTTACACCATTTGGGATGCGGCCCTTCCTCGAACTCTGTGTGAATGCGGGATGATTTGTGCACCGGACAGTCCTCCCTTACTTATCATGGACAAACCATAATCATGCTATGATCTATCTCATGACCCAAATCTAAGCAGCTTCGTGTTATCTCTGCCTGTCCTAAGGAAAAATTACTAAATCTGAACAACTTTCTGCATTTATTTCGTTGTTTATGACGAATTAGGAACCCGTATAACCGAGAAGGGAACATTAACAGAAGTAATATCCTTGAAGAACTGAATGAGAAAAATAAAAAAAGACCATTCAGTGAATAATTATACAGTTTAATATGTATTCTTGTTATAAATACATATATAATCTATGTTGTTCGAATTTTTCAAAAGTCCCTTCAAATATGTATAAACACATATATAATCTACAAGGACCAACATATAGTTTGTATATAATAGATGTATCACTTAAAATTTTGTTTGTATTATAATTTATAGTTAAGCTAGCTCAAATTAAGCATGTATATAATATAATGCGATGATTATATAAGCCGTCATATTATTAGTGAATATTAGCTCATGATCTCATCAAATAAGCAAAGAGAGACCCTCAAGCTACTTAGTATATAAGAACAAAAGAGATGTATTTTTTTTTTATAAGCAGAAAATAGAGAACAGGTTAGGAATATTCAATTGCAAGTTGAATGGTATTGGACAAGAAGGCAAAAAGCAATTATTCAAATACTCGATTTACCTAGTGCTTACCACATTATACAGCAGAGGATTCGAACAAAAAGAACATCATAATATAAACAACAAAATGAGATACTATATATGAAAATGAAAAATAATTACCTTGTGTTAGAAAATTCATAGAGCTTTCCAGTACTTGAGAAAATGATCAATCCAACTTGTGCATCACAGAGGATAGCTAACTCCTTAGCTTTCTTCAACAATCCATTCCTTCTCTTAGAGAAAGTCACTTGCCTACTTGATGAGTTATCAATTCTTCTGATCACAATCTTTCCCCTTCCCATCTTAGCTTGCTAGGGTTATCTCTACAAAAAAGATTAAGTAAAGAAAAAACGAATGGATTAGAAGAATAGTAGGTCTTTTAGGTTAAAAGTGAAGTATGAAGGAAAGGAAAGCTCACTTGGGTTTGTTTGAGCTTTTTGGAAATTAAACAAAGTTTTTTTTGGTGAAGTTTGGCCAAGGGTTTGCCTCACATCAAAGTCAGGAAAGGAGCTACTTTTATAAGCCAATGAGAAGTCTGAGGCCCCATCATAAGCACTATTGACATAAAAAAAATATATTTTGTACAACTTGGTCATTTAAATATACTGCTCCCTCTCCTCAAAATTGATCATTTCGGCAGACTAAATTTATCCTAAAATATTTGAAATTCAAGACAAACAAAAAAGAATTACTACTTCTTCTTTTTTTCTTTTCAAACTTTCACTACTAGAAATCCGGAAATTAGCGACAAAAATTTAGCCACCAAAATTGGACGGTCCAAAAAAGCGACCAAAGTTGGTCGATAAAGGAGAGAAAAATATTTTATAATTATTTTAAATAAATTACCGACCAAAGTTGGTCGGTAAAGTGGTCAAGAAGTTGACCGAGCTGGTCAGACTTGTTTAGTCAAAGATAATTTCACATTACCAACCAACTTTGGTCGGTAATGTGGGACCTAGTTAAAAAATTTTAATAGTTATATTATTACTTAAAATATTTTATAAAATATAAAGAAATCTTATTTAAAATTACCGACCAAAATTGGTCGATTAATACTGGGGGAAACATTTACCGACCAATTTTAGTCGCTATACTTTAATTTCTGGAAAATAACCGACCAATGTTGGTCGGTTATTAGGTCAACATTGGTCAAAATTTAAAATCACTGTTATATTTACTATCTAAATAATATAAATGTAATCTGTTAACACTTTTGTAGTAAAAGGGATGAATACACTAACATATACTATAACATGATATATGTGTAGTTAAAATAGCATAACAAAGCGTGTATATATATATATATATAGGTCAGACGTTTTGTTTTTAATATTCAACGATGCATATAAGTAAGTTATAAGTCGATGAATCAATTTCCAAACAGATATATTTGATGATAAATTATATATACTAATTAGGATCTTCACAAGTCTATCAATCCCTAAAAGAACTCGGCCCTTATATATATATATAGGTCAGACATTTTATTTTTAATATTCAACGATGCATCTAAGTAAGTTATAAGTCGATGAATCAATTTCCAAACAGATATATTTGATGATAAATTAGGATCTTCACAAGTCCATGTAGGTAAATGATCCAAATAATGGTGTAAATTAATTTTTGATAGATATATCTTGGGGACCTGGGTTTTAGGTCATAACAATGTCTAAGTACGTAGTAAATGGTTATAAGTTCCATACAGAGAATTTCTCTAAAATATAAATAGCAACAACAGCGGGGTGTGGGTTCAAGGAGGTGATGGCAACCAAGTTGGAGATATTGATTATTATGGTATGCTCAAAGAAATAATAGAACTAGAATATATAGGTTGGCCATATAAGAAATTGATACTATTTAGATGCAAGTGGTTTGACCCAAATCCAACAAGAGGTACAAGAGTACACAACCAATACAACATAATTGAGTCATACGAGGGAGTATGATCGCTATGATCCTTTCATAATTGCACATAATGTTAGGCAAGTGTATTATGCTCCTTATCCATTGTGGCGGAATAAGTCTGATTGGTGGGTTGTATTAAAAACTAAGCATGTAGGTAGGGTGGAAGTCGAGAATGTGTTAGATGTTGCATATCAAAATGATATCTCCAGTGTTCACCAAATAGTGGACAATCAGCTAGAAAATGATTTGGAACATCCTGAACACATATTGGAAGAAGTTGATATAAATTAAGTAAGAATTATAGAAAATGAGGACGAAGAATCACGTGATAAAGCTCAAACAAGTGAGCACGAAGAATTTTCGGACGAGAAACAATACGTCGATGAGCTTTAAAAAGTTGGTTTTTAAAATAATTCTCATTTTATAGCTAGTTTCTTATATGTTTCAATCTAAATATGTATTATATTATGCATATGGCAGGCAAGGGTCAAGGTAACAATGACCCTACTGGTTCTCGGGGTCGAGAAAAGGCTAGGAAGGAAAAGAGGGGGGGTAGAAAATGATACTCCATCTGCTCCACCCTGTTTAGATATGCCTATGCCTATGCCTATGTCTTATCCTCCATTTGACGGCTATACTGAGTTGCCACAGCATCACGAGCCCTACACCTTCGTACAGACACCAGGTCTTTCATCATAAGGCTATAGGACTATACGCCCGACATACAATCCAGCTGCCTCACAACCACATGGATTGCAGCCATCTACATTTCATGGATCGCATCCATCCATGTCACATCCATCAGTATCACAACCACTTAGGGTCCATCCAGCTATATCGCAGTCATAGGGATCGCAACCATCTTCATCATCGACTCCATCTATTTCAGGCCTTCGCCTGCGAGGTAGTAACTCTGACCCCCCTACACCGTCCATACATACCTCTGATATACATGCTTCAGACAATGATGCTGATGATGAAGAGGAGGAGCATTATGATCAATATGGCAGGATCATCGTAGTCCTTGAGGGTGATAGGTAAGAATTATTTGTTATTTTTGCGTTTATTGTTTTGTAAAGTTTTTACTAAAATATTAATGTGTTTTTATTGTTAAATTGCAGGTTCATCCCGAGTAATAAGACTACGAGGATAATCACCAAAGCCATCAGAAAGCTTTATGATAGCCCTTATGCGACTTGGACTGATTTCCCATTCTCGCTAAAGGAGTAAATTTTCAATCAATTTAAGGTATAAATGTTCTTTTAAGCAGTTTAATAATTTATATTTATGATATTTTCATATAATATTAAATTTTTGAAATACATAGAAATACAGAGCAAGTGTGTATGGAACACCGCTATAGTGCGGAAGTGGCTGCAAATTTCCATCATAAAGCTCGCAAGCGATTGTCGCATACTTTCTCCGAAGCTAGAAAGAAGAACAAGAAGCCTGACTGGTTACTTAAAAATTTATGGGATGATTTGCAAAGGCAATGGCTTACCGCAAAGTTCTTAGAGAAGAGCGAAAAAGGAAAGAAAGCTCGTGCATCTGAGAAGGGAGGCTCCTTGCACATTGGAGGTGCGATCAGCCTAGGGACAATAAAAAGAAAGTTAGTATGTAATTGCTTAAATTATTTTAATTTTCAAACTATATCTATTCTGTTTATTAACTAAATTAATTTGTTTTCAAGAAAAGAAGTTAGGGCTTCCAATAAACTATGATGAGCTATTCAAGGAGACGCATATTGTAAATAAGAAGAAAGAGACGGATCAAGAAAGGTGGGTCGAGGACCGGGCCTCAACTGTATATATAAGTTTCCACTTTTTTTTAAGTATTTTAATTTACTTTTATATATATTTTGAATTACTAATTCAATTTAAATTTTCGTATAGGGTCGCTACCAAACTAACGTGGAGGAATTCATCCGAACTCAGCCAGCTGTTGAATCGGGTAAGCCAACCCAACCTTCGGACGAGGATGCTAAAAGAATATGGATGAAGTCTGCTGGAGGTCCAAAATGGGAGAAGGTATACGGGCTTCCTACTAAGAAATTTCATCACTATAAGTGTGGAATGAAAGGAATAGGGACTTCCTAGCAAGGCTATCAACTTGATAGGGAGAGCCTCTCCGCTATGCGGAGACTGCGACAAAACTCACATCTGAACTAGAAGCGGCCAAGGAAAGAGGAAGGGATAGAGATGTTTAGTTCCTTGGTATGCAAGCTCAGATCAGAACTCTCCTATCTACTGGAGCTTTTCTGTTGCCTGGTCTCGTGAGTCATCGCCAGAGGCTCGACATGAACGTGAGCGTTCCTTCCGTCATCCCCGTGATTGTTCCTCCCGTCCTCCCCGTGATCGTTCCTCCCGTCCTCCCCGTTGTCGTTCTTTCCGTCCTCCACAAGACCCTTCTCGACACCGCCTTTTAGATGAAATTTCATCAGACGGTGATGATGATGTTGTAATAAACACTCCTTGACTTTTATATACTTTGAACTAGACAAATAGAACCGGTTTTGAACTAGTTGTAATAAGTTTGAACTTGGTTTTGCATTTTTTAGTTCTATTAAACTTTAATTTGTTAGTTTTAATGTATTTATTGAATTGTGTTGTTGTTGTTTAGGGATTTAGGTATGCTGGCAGGTGGTGTAGCTGCCAAAACAGGCATTTTCTGCCAAAATTAAAACCCAGAAAACCGACCAAAGTTGGTCGGTTCCTAATTAAACAAAAATCTGTTGATTAGCGACCAACCTTGGTCGCTTAATTTTTTTTTAAAAAAAAAATTATCAACCAAAGTTGGTCGGTTATTGAACAAGGATTACCCAGATTTCAACTTTACCAACCAACTTTGGTCGGCATGGTTAAATTTTAATTTTTTATAAAAAAATATATATTTTACTTTACCGACCAACTTTTGTCGCTAATTTTTAAATTTTAATAATTAATAACATAACGTAATTTAAATATACCGACCAACTTTGGTTGGTAAAATTAAATTATTAAAATATTATTACCGACCAAAGTTGGTCGGTATGTGCTTTAAATTGCATAGTTGGTCTTTTTACCTTTGCGACCAACGTTGGTCGCAAAGGTAAAAAGACCAACTATGCAATTTAAAGCACATACCGACCAACTTTGGTTGGTAAAATTAAATTATTAAAATATTATTACCGACCAAAGTTGGTCGGTATGTGCTTTAAATTGCATAGTTGGTCTTTTTACCTTTGCGACCAACGTTGGTCGGTAATTAGCGACCAACCTTGGTCGGTATACTAAAACGACCACCAAAATAGCGACCAAACGTGTTTGGACGAGTTTTGGTCAGTAATTTGCCTAAATCGACCAACGTTGGTCGCTTTTTTGGGTGTCTAATTACCGAATTTCTAGTAGTGTTTAATAGTGAAGCCTTAATTAAGTTAGTTGCTTAAGAGAGAAATAAATGATGGACGTGAATAACGGTTAGTTTTAGGATAAGATATCAAAAGAGAATATTCTAGTGGATATTTTTTGTACATATATTATTAGGGTTTTTTGGTATATGTTCCCTATAAATAGAAAGAGGCACAAGAATAGGGGGCATAACATATTCATT